GTGACCCCAAAGTGACCCCAGGTGACCCCAAAGTGACCCCAGGTGACCCCAGGTGAGCCTTGGTGGCTTTTCCATCCCGAGTTTATTCCGGACCCGGGGGCGACTTTTCAATATGAAAAACGGAAAAAACGGGAAAAGAAACGACCAAAAACGACCAAAAAACCAACCAAAAACGGGGAAAAAACGGGAAAAGAGCGAGGGGAAAACGGGGAGAGACGGAGGGAAAACGGGAAAAACGAACAAAAATGGGAAAAACGGGGAAAAACGGGGAAAAACGGGGAAAAATGGGGAAAAATGGGGAAAAATGGGAAAAAATAGGAAAAAATGGGGAAAAATGAGCGGAAATCGAGGGAAACGAACCCAAAAATGGAGAGAAAATGGGGAAGAATCGGATGAAAATTGGGTGGAAAAAGGGGGAATTTGGGAAAAAATGAAGGGGATTGGGGTGAGAGGGAGGAAAAATGGGGGGAAACGATGGAAAATGAGGAGAAATGGGGAGAAATGAGGAAAAAATGGGAAAAAACGATGGAAATTGAGGGAAAAACGGAGAAAAACGATCCAGAAAGGAGGAAAAACGAAGAGAAATGGGAATAAAAACCATAAAAATTGGGGGGAAATGTCGTGAAATTGGGCAAAAACGAAAAAAGGGGAAAAAAAACCCCAAAAATCGGGAAAAAACGGAGCGAAAACGGGGGAAACTGAGGCAGGAACGGGGAAACTGAGGCAGGAACGGGGAAACTGAGGCAGGAATGGGGAAACTGAGGCAGGGCGGGGGGGGGAAGGGCCAGGGTGGCAGCGGGGGAGGGGCGGAGGTGAGGATGAAGGTCCAAGGGGTCTTCCATGATGAGGATGATGAAGGTCCAGGAGATCTTCCATGATGAAGGTCCAGAGGTTCTTCCATGATGAGGTGGATGAAGGTCCAAGAGATCTTCCATGGTGAGGATGATGAAGGTCGAAAAGCTCCTCCATGGTGAGGATGATGAAGGTCCAGGAGATCTTCCATGATGAAGGTCCAGAGGTTCTTCCACAGTGAGGATGATGAAGGTCCAGAGGTTCTTCCATGGTGAGGATGGTGAAGGTCCAAGAGATCTTCCATGGTGAAGGCCCATGGGTTCTTCTTCCATGGTGAGGATGATGAAGGTCCAAGGGGCTCCTCCATGGTGAGGACAATGAAGGTCCAGGAGATCTTCCATGGTGAAGGTCCATGGGTTCTTCTTCCATGGTGAGGATGATGAAGGTCCATGCGTTCTTCTTCCATGATGAGGATGATGAAGGTCCAAAGGTTCTTCCATGGTGAGGTGGATGAAGGTCCAAGAGATCTTCCACGGTGAGGATGATGAAGGTCCAAGGGTTCTTCCATGATGAGGATGATGAGTGAGGATGATGAAGGTCCTGGTGAGGACAATGAAGAGATCTTCCATGGTGAAGGTCCAAGGGTTCTTCTTCCATGATGAGGATGATGAAGGTCTAAGGGGCTCCTCCATGGTGAGGACAATGAAGAGATCTTCCATGGTGAAGGTCCAAGGGTTCTTCTTCCATGATGAGGATGATGAAGGTCCAAGGGGCTCCTCCATGGTGAGGACGATGAAGGTCCAGGAGATCTTCCATGATGAGGATGGTGAAGGTCCAAGGGCTCCTCCATGATGAGGTGGATGAAGGTCCAAGAGATCTTCCATGATGAGGATGATGAAGGTCCATGAGTTCTTCCATGATGAGGTGGATGAAGGTCCAAGGGTTCTTCTTCCATGATGAGGATGATGAAGGTCCAAGAGATCTTCCATGATGAGGATGATGAAGGTCCAAGAGATCTTCCATGATGAGGATGATGAAGGTCCAAGAGATCTTCCATGATGAGGATGATGAAGGTCCAAGAGATCTTCCATGATGAGGATGATGAAGGTCCAAGAGATCTTCCATGATGAGGATGATGAAGGTCCAAGAGATCTTCCATGATGAGGATGATGAAGGTCCAAGAGATCTTCCATGATGAAGGTCCAAGGGCTCGTCCGTGATGAGGATGATGAAGGTCAGCAACTCTCCCACAGCGAGACCGAAGGTCAGGACCTCTCGGAGCCTCTTCCACCGTGATGATGATGATGATGATGATGAAGGTCACGGCCAACTGGACACCAAGGGCTGAGGATGACGAAGATCAGAGACCCCAACGACCGCGATGAGGGCCAGGAGCTCCCGGAGGCCGAGGAGGAGGAGGAGGATGAAGGCCGGAAACCTTCAGAGGACAATGATGAACTCGGGGGACTCTCCGAGGATGATGAAGGTTGGAGACCCTTCAACGATGATGAAGATTGGGACCTCTTTGAGGATGATGAAGATTGGGGACCATTCAACGATGATGAAGGTTGGGACCTCTTTGAGGATGATGAAGATTGGGGACCGTTCAATGATGATGAAGGCTGGAGACCCTTTGATGACGACGAAGATCAGGAGCTCTTTGATGATGATGGAGGTTGGAGACCCTTCAATGATGACGATGATGAAGATTTGGAATCCTTCAATGATGATGAAGATCGGGACCTCTTTGATGATGATGAAGATCAGGAACTCCTTGATGCTGAATACTGGAAACCCTTCAATGATGATGACGAAGATTTGGAATCCTTCATTGATGATGAAGATCAGGAACTCTGATGATGATGATGAAGATCAGGAGCTCTTCGATGATGATGAAGATCAGGAACCCTTTGATGATGAAGATGACGACATTGGCAGCTCTGACCATGACCAAGACTGGAGACTCTTCAAGGACCACAAAGGCCACCCCATGATGATGACGATGATGATGGTGAAGGCTGGCGACTCCTCAAGAACGATGATGAAGGTTGGAAACTCTTCGAAGATGATCAAGGCCAAGGACCACGAGGACCACGCTGAAGGTCAGGGACTCTTCCAGGATGACGACGATGAAGGCTGAGGAACGTGTCAAAGGCCAGGGACTCTGAGGATGACGATGATGAAGGCTGAAGACAACGCTGAAGGTCGGGGACTCTTCCATGATGACGATGATGAAAGCTGAGGACCACGAGGACAAAGCTGAAGGTCGGGGAACTCTTTGAGGATGACGATGATGAAGGCTGAAGACAACGCTGAAGGTCGAGGACTCTTCCATGATGACGATGATGAAGGCTGAGGACCACAAGGACCACCCTGAAGGTTGGGGACTCTTTGACGATGAAGACGATGAAGGTTGAGGACCATGAGGACCATGATGAAGATCAGGGACTCTTCCAGGATGACGATGATGAAGGTTGAGGACCACGAAGACCACGCTGAAGGCCGGGGACTCTTTGAAGATGACGATGATGAAGGCTGAGGACAACGCTGAAGATCAGGGACTCTTTGAAGATGATGACGATGAAGGCTGAGGACCACGAGGACCACGCTGAAGATCGGGGACTCCTCCAGGATGACGATGATGAAGGCTGAGGACCATGAGGACAACGCTGAAGGTTGGGGACTCTCTGAAGATGACGATGATGAAGGTTGAAGACCACAAGGACCACGCTGAGGGCCGGGAACTCTTTGAAGATGACGATGATGAAGGCTGAGGACAACGCCGAAGATCAGGGACTTTTTGAGGATGACGATGATGAAGGCTGAGGAACGTGTCAAACGCTGGGGACTCTTTGAGGATGACGATGATGAAGGCTGAGGACCACGAGGACAGAGAACTCGAAGACGATGATGATGAAGGTTGAGGACCACGAGGACAGGGGACTCTGAAGACGACGACGATGAAGGCTGAGGACCACGAGGACGACTCTGAAGGTCGGGGACTCTTTGAGGATGACGACGATGAAGGCTGAGGACCACGAGGACGACTCTGAAGGTCGGGGACTCTTTGAGGATGACGACGATGAAGGCTGAGGACCACGATGACAACGCTGAAGGTCGGGGTGGGAACTCCGCTGCCGCCCGTGCCCGAGGCCAACACTGACGACGACAACAATGACGACGAAGACGCCCGAGGCAGGAGAAGACACTCCACCACCAACCACCACCTGAAGGAACAAAACCCCTCAAGCCTCCTCTTCGGCCTCCTCCCCGAAATCCTCCTCCTCCTCGGCCGTGGCGTCCTGGTACTGCTGGTACTCGGAGACGAGGTCGTTCATGTTGGACTCGGCCTCGGTGAACTCCATCTCGTCCATTCCTTCTCCCGTGTACCAGTGCAGGAACGCCTTGCGCCGGAACATGGCCGTGAACTGCTCCGAGATCCTCTTGAAGAGCTCCTGGATGGCCGTGCTGTTCCCGATGAAGGTGACGGCCATCTTCAGCCCGCGCGGCGGGATGTCGCACACCGCCGTCTTCACGTTGTTGGGGATCCACTCCACGAAGTACGAGCTGTTCTTGTTCTGCACGTTCAACATCTGCTCGTCCACCTCCTTCATGGACATGCGGCCCCGGAAGACGGCGGCCACCGTCAGGTAGCGGCCGTGCCGCGGGTCGCAGGCCGCCATCATGTTCTTGGCGTCGAACACCTGCTGGGTGAGCTCGGGCACGGTGAGGGCGCGGTACTGCTGGCTGCCCCGCGACGTCAGCGGCGCGAAGCCCGGCATGAAGAAGTGCAGCCGCGGGAAGGGCACCATGTTGACGGCCAGCTTGCGCAGGTCGGCGTTGAGCTGCCCGGGGAAGCGCAGGCAGGTGGTGACGCCGCTCATGGTGGCCGACACCAGGTGGTTGAGGTCGCCGTAGGTGGGCGTGGTCAGCTTGAGGGTGCGGAAGCAGATGTCGTAGAGCGCCTCGTTGTCGATGCAGTACGTCTCGTCCGTGTTCTCCACCAGCTGGTGCACCGACAGCGTGGCGTTGTACGGCTCCACCACCGTGTCCGACACCTTGGGCGACGGCACCACGCTGAAGGTGTTCATGATGCGGTCGGGGTACTCCTCGCGGATCTTGGAGATCAGCAGGGTGCCCATGCCCGAGCCGGTGCCGCCGCCCAGCGAATGGGTCAGCTGGAAGCCCTGCAGGCAGTCGCAGCTCTCGGCCTCCTTGCGCACCACGTCCAGCACCGAGTCCACCAGCTCGGCGCCCTCCGTGTAGTGACCCTTGGCCCAGTTGTTGCCGGCGCCGCTTTGGCCTGGGGGGGAGACACCGAGGGGTTGGGTTGGGGGGCTTGGGGACCTTCAAACCGACTCTGGAGACCCTCAAACCACCCTAGAGAACCTCGGGGACCTTCAAACCAGCTCTGGAGAACCTCAAGCCACCCTAGAGAACCTCGGGGACCTTCAAACCAGCTCTGGAGAACCTCAAGCCACCCTAGAGAACCTCGGGGACCTTCAAACCAGCTCTGGAGAACCTCAAGCCACCCTAGAGAACCTCGGGGACCTTCAAACCAGCTCTGGAGAACCTCAAGCCACCCTAGAGAACCTCGGGGACCTTCAAACCAGCTCTGGAGAACCTCAAACCACATCTGGAAAACCTCAGGGACCTTCAAACCAACTTTGGAGACCCTCAAACCACGTCTGGAGAACCTCAGGGACCTTCAATCCAGCTCTGGAGACCCTCAAACCACATCTGGAGAACCTTGGGGACCTTCAAACCGTGTTTGGAGAATCTCAAACCACCCTGGAGAACCTCTGGGACCTTCAAACCAACTTTGGAGACCCTCAAACCACGTCTGGAGAACCTCAGGGACCTTCAAACCAACTCTGGAGAACCTCAAACCACCCTAGAGAGCCTCAGGGACCTTCAAACCAGCTCTGGAGAACCTCAAACCACCTTGGAGAACCTCAGGGACCTTCAAACCAGCTCTGGAGAACCTCAAACTACATTTGTGGACCTTGGGGATGGGATGTTCAAACCTCTTCTGGAGACCTTCAAACCACCTCTGCTGACCTTCAAATCACCTCTGGGGACCTTTAACCCCACCTTGAGGACCTTCAACCCCACCTTGGGGACACCTGGGGACCCTCAACTCCACCTCGGTGGGACATTTGGGACCTTCAACCTTACCTTGGGGACCTTCACCCCACTTTGGGGACCTCCAACCCCACCTTGGTGGGACATTTGGGGACCTTCGTATCACCCTCGGGACCTCCAACCCCACCTTGGGGACACCTGAGGACCTCCAACCCCATTTTGGGGACCTCCAACCCCATTTTGGGGACACTTTGGGACCTTCCCCCCACTTCGAGCACCCTCATCTCCACCTTGGTGGGACATTTGGGGACCTTCATGCCACCCTCAGGACATTCAACCCCACCTTGGGGACCCTCATCTCCACCTTGGGGACACCTGAGGACCTTCAACCTCATCTTTGGGGACACCTGGGGACCTTCAGCCCCACCTTGAGGACCTCCAACCCCACCTCGGTGGGACATTTGGGGACCTTCATATCACCCTTGGGACCTCCAACCCCACCTTGGTGACCCTCATCTCCACCTTGGGGACAGCTGGGGACCTTCATGCCACCCTTGGCAACCTTCAGCCCTACCTTGGGGACATCTGGCGACCTCCAACCCCACTTTGGTGGGACACCTGGGGACCTTCAACCCCACCTTGGGGACACCTGGGGACCTTCATGCCCCACCCATGGGACCTGCAGCCCCACCCTGGGGACACCTGGGGACCTTCATGGTGCTCTTGGGACCTCCAACCCCACCCTTGGGGATCTTCACCCCACTTTGGGGACCCTCATCTTCACCTTGGTGGGACACTTAGGGACCTTCAACCCCACCTTGGTGGGACATTTGGGGACCTTCAACCCCATTTTGGAGACATTTCAGGACCTTCCCCCCATTTTGGTGACCCTCAACCCCACCTTGGGGACACCTGGGGACCTTCAACCCCACCTTGGGGACCTCCAACCCCACCTTGGGGACCTCTAACCCCACCTTGGGGACCTTCCCCCCACTTTGAGGACCTCCAACCCCACCTTGGTGGGACATTTGGGGACGTTCCTGCCACCCTTGGGACCTTCAACCCCACCTCAGGGACCTTCAGCCCCACCTTGGGGACACCTGAGGACCTTCAACCCCACCTTGGGGACATTTCAGGACCTTCCCCCCACTTTGGTGACCCTCAACCCCACCTTGGGGACACCTGGGGACCTCCAACCCCACCTTGGGGACACCTGGGGACCCTCAACCCCACCTTGGGGACACCTGGGGACCTTCAACCCCACCTTGGGGACACCTGGGGACCCTCAACCCCACCTTGGGGACATTCAGCTCCACCTTGGGGACATCTGGTGACCTTGGTGCCACCCTTGGGAGCTCCAGCCCCACCTTGGGGACACCTGGGGACCTTCCCCTCCCCTTTGGGGCCCTGCTGTCCCTTGAGGCCAGCGCTCTGCTGTCCCCAGGTGTGTCCCCAGGTGTCCCCAAGCGTGTCCCAGGTACCTCCAGGTGTGTCCCCAGGTGTGTCCCAGGTATCTCCAGATGTCCCCAAGTGTCCCCAAGTGTCCCCTCAGGTAGCTCAGGTGTGTCCTCAGGTATCCCCAGGTGTCCCTCAATGTCCCCAAGTGTCCCCAGGTGTCCCTCAGGAGCTCCCAGGTGTGTCCCAAACACTCCCAGGTGTATCCCCAGCTGTCCCCAGGTGTGTCCCAGATGTCCTCAAGTGTCCCCAGCTGTCCCAGATGTCCTCCCCAGGTGTCCCCAAGTGTCCCAGGTGTGTCCCCAGGTGTCCCAGCTGTCCCCAGGTGTCCCCAGGTGCGTCCCCAGGTGTGTCCCCAATGTCCCCCCAGGTGTCCGCAAGCGTCCCAGGTGTGTCCCAGGTGTCTCCAATGTCTCCCCAGGTGTCCCCAGATGTCCCCAATGTCCCCCCAGGTGTCCCCAATGTCCCCCCAGGTGTCCCCAGGTGTCCCCAATGTCCCCCCAGGTGTCCCCAATGTCCCCCCAGATGTCCCCAGGTGTCCCCAATGTCCCCCCAGATGTCCCCAGGTGTCCCCAGGTGTCCCCAATGTCCCCCCAGGCGCGTCACTCACCGAAGACGAAGTTGTCGGGTCGGAAGATTTGCCCGAAGGGGCCGGAGCGCACCGAGTCCATCGTGCCGGGCTCCAGATCCACCAGGATGGCCCTGGGCACGTATTTCCCACCTGAAACAGAAACCACACCCAAAATTGGGAAAACTGTCCTAAAATCTGGGAGAACGACCCCAAAAACGGGAAAAACGACCCCAAAAACGGGGAAAACGACCCCAAAAATGGGGAAAATGACCCCAAAAATGGAGAAATGCACCCCAAAAATGGGGAAAATGACCCCAAAAATGGGGAAAACGACCCCAAAAACGGGAAAAACGACCCCAAAAATGGGGAAAACTACACCAAAAATGGGGAAAGGACCCCAAAAATGGGGAAATGACCCCAAAAATGGGGAAAGGACCCCAAAAATGGGGAAAATGACCGCAAAAATGGGGGAAGGACCCCAAAATGGGGAAAATGACCCCAAAAATGGGGAAAGGACCCCAAAAATGGGGAAAGGACAACAAAAATGGGGAAAATGACCCCAAAAATGGGGGAATGACCCCAAAAATGGGGGAATGACCCCAAAAATGGGGAAATGACCCCAAAAATGGGGGAATGACCCCAAAAATGGGGAAATGACCCCAAAAATGGGGAAATGACCCCAAAAATGGGGAAAACGACCCCAAAAATGGGGAAATGACCCCAAAAATGGGGAAATGACCCGAAAAGTGGGAAAAACGACCCCAAAAATGGGGGAATGACCCCAAAAATGGGAAATTCACCCCAAAAATGGGGAAATGAGCCCAAAAATGGGGGAATGACCCCAAAAATGGAGAAAAGGACCCAAAAATGGGGAAAATGACCCCCAAAATGGGGAAATTGCCCCAAAAATGGGGGAATGACCCCAAAAATGGAGAAATGCACCCCAAAAATGGGGGAATGACCCCAAAAATGGGAAAAAAGGACCCCAAAATAGGGAAAATTACCCCAAATGGGGAAAACTACCCCAAAAATGGGGAAATGACCCCAAAAATGGAGAAATATACCCCAAAAATGGGGAAAATGAGCCCAAAAATGGGGGAATGACCCCAAAAATGGGGGAATGCACCCCAAAAATGGGGAAAATTACCTCAAAAATGGGGAAATGCATCCCAAAAATGGGAAATGCACCCCAAAAATGGGGAAAGCGACCCCAAAATCAGGGAAAACGACACAAAAAATGGGGAAAATTACCCCAAAAATGGAGAAAACAACCCCAAATTCGGAGAAATTCACCCCAAAATTGGGGAAAGCGACCCCAAAAATGGGAAATTCACCCCAAAAATGGGGAAATGCACCCCAAAAATGGGAAATTCACCCCAAAAATGGGAAAAACAACCTTGAAAACAGGGAAAACGACCCCAAATTTGGGGAAAACGACCCTGAAAATGGAGAAAACAACCCCAAAAATGGGAAAAACCAACCCAAAAATGGGAAAAACAGCCTCAAAAATGGGAAAAACAGCCCCAAAAATGGGGAAAACAGCCTCAAAACTGGGAAAGTTACCCCAAAAATGGGGAAAACAACCCCAAAAATGGGGAAAACAACCCCAAAAATGGAAAATTTCACCCCAAAAATGGGGAATTTCACCCCAAAAATGGGAACAGGCACCCTGAAAATGGGGAAAATAATCCCAAAACCAGGAATTCACCCCAAAACCACGGAGTCATCCCAAAAATGGGAGAAGTTACCCCAAAACTGGGAAAGTCACCCCAAGAATTGGAAATGTCACCCCCAAATCACCCAGAACAACCCGAAAAACACCCGAATGACCAAAAAAATAGCAGAAATCACCCCAAAACCACTGGAATTACCCCAAAACCACCCAAAATCACCCCAAAAACACCCAAACCAACCCCAAAACCACCCAAAATCACCCCAAAAACACCCAAAATCACCCCAAAACCACCGGAATTGTCCCAAAACCACCCAAGACGGTGACAATGGACAGGTGACAATGGACAGGTGACAATGGACAGGGGACAATGGACAGGTGACAATGGACAGGTGACAAGGAACAGGACACAGGTGACAATGGACAGGTAACAATGAAGAGGTGACAATGGACGGGGACAGGTGACAATGAAGAGGTGTCAGTGAACCAGTGACAATGGACAGGTGACAATGGACAGGGACAGGTGACAATGGACAGGGACAGGTGACAATGGGCAGGTGACAATGGACAGGACACAGGTGACAATGGACAGATGACAATGGACAGGGACAGGTGACAATGGACAGGTGACAATGGACAAGGACACCAAGGGGTGACAAAGGACAAGGAGACACTGGAGGGTCACAGGGGACAAGGTGACATTGGGGGTGACACCGAGAGTGACAAGGGACAGGTGACACCAGGGGGATCACAAGATCAGAGGTGACAAGGGACAAGGTGACACCAATGGGGTGACACTGGGGACAGGGTGACACCAAAGCGGTGACACCAGGAGGTGACACTGATGACAGGGTGACACCAAAGCGGTGACACCGAACAGGTGACAATGGGGACAGGGTGGCACCAATGGAGTGACACCGGGGACGGGGGACACTGGGGAGAGTGACACCAGGGACAGGGTGACACCAGGAGGTGACAATGGGGACAAGGATGACACTGGGGGAGCTGGCACCAGGGACAGGGTGACACTGGGGAGGGTGACACCAGGGACAGGGTGACACCAGGGACAGGGTGACACTGGGGAGGGTGACACCAGGGACAGGGTGACACCAGGGACAGGGTGGCACTGGGGAGGGTGACACCAGGGACAGGGTGACACCAGGGA